CAGCTGGTTTTGGTTGTCAGCAGCAAAACTGGTTGATCTGAGAAGAAGGTGTTATTTATAAAACTGAGTTTATTGTTTATATCCACTGTATGTGTAATGCGAGGATCAGGAAGCAGGAGTCACTCTGCTGCTGCACTCTGCTGCCACCTGTCGGTCAGAGGAGGAATCTGATCAGGCTGCTTGTCAAAGGGCTAGTTAGCTAGCTTAAGCGTTTACACTCATAACTGCTCTGCTTTTTGCGGAAATAATGAACCGTCATAATCAATTTTTGTTTCCCCACTCGGCAATGCCTAAAGCTCCGGCTTCAGTACCCATACCGGCGCCACCTGCAAGGTAAATAAATCTTGTTTTTGTTTTTCGTCATGTATCAGATAAAGTTAATCTCACTGACAATGCAGGCCGTGTCGGATTCTAACATAAAAAAAATAAATAAAAAAAATTCAGGGTATTCAAGCTATACATTTTTCTTAATACTTAACAGTAAAATTTACATAAACTCCTGTTCATTTATGATCATTTTCACTTTGTTTTGCTATGTTTCTAAAGCTATTAGCACAGCTAGCTTAACTTAGCTTAGCCTAGCCTGCCCGTTCAGTCGCTTTTATTTTACTGTCGTTTTGTTTTTGTTGTTTCAGAGTCCCCCAGGCTTTCGTAGAAGCCATGAAACGGATATCTGCGTCCGACACTGTTCCCACCCCTCCACCTATACTAAAGAAAGCAGGTGGTGAGGATGACACACTTACACAGGCTCAGCTGTGGGCTTCACGGTTTTATCATTTATATCACTTAAATACTCATTTATATCACTTAAATACTCATTTATATCACTTGAATACTCGTTTATAGCACAGCTACCACTGTATACATATGTTAATGTTTTACTGCCCTAATTTAAATTATTTCTAAAATAAATTACTTGCCAAAGAAAGATGAGAAATCTCAAGTTCAAGAATCTTTATTATCCCCAAGCAGCAGTTTGTTTCACAGTCAGTAGAGATACAAAACATTCATAGACAAGACATTGAGACATTAAAATAACAGTACAGAAATCATCACTGTTCATTGAGAAGCCTAATTGCTACAGGGTACATCGCTACATTTTGCTATCAAACACTATTAAAAGATGTATGTAACTCTACATAGCAGGAGTAGACAATACTACACAATTTCAGTTTACATGCAATACCAGTCTCGTTATTTCTTTCAAATCAATAATTTTATTTAGATTCCGTAATGTTGATAAAAGGATGGCAAAATGGAAAAGCTTTGTTTTTAAAAACTAAGTTCACCCCCGTGATCCAGCTGCTTGTAGAACCTCCTTTAGCAGTAAGAACTTCCAGTAGTGGCTTTCTGTAGGACTTTTTCTGTCTCTCTCGTGGTTGTAGAGGAATTTTGGCCCACCTTTCTTAACAAGCAACAAAGTCCATGCTCAGTAATATATAGGTATAAAATCCAACATTTTTCAGTCAGGTCATCTGGACAGTTTCTTTTTTTTTTTTTTGTGCTAAAACGTTTCATCTTCAATCCAGAAGGCTTCATCAGTCAAGGAAACACACAACAAAACTTATTCTTCCTCCAACAGCTTACTCCAAAGTGGAACAAACCAGTTCTGCTTGTGATAAGATGGTCTCTTTGGTACGCCCCTCCTCCATTGCCGGCCTTCTTCCTTGTTGACAGTCATGTCAAACTGGTTGAAAACAACAAAGTCCATGCTCAATAACCCAGGTATACCTACCTACCTACGTACCAAAGAGACCATCTTAACACCAACCAAACTGGTTTGTTCCACTGTTGGAGTAAGCTGTTTGGGGAAGAATCAATTTTGTTGTGTTTCCTTGACTGATGAAGCCTTCCAGATCGAACGTGAAACGTTTCAGCACAAAAAAATAAACTGTCCAGATGACCTGACTGAAAAATGTTGGATTTTATACCTGGATTACTGAGCATGGACTTTGTTGTTCTTGTCCTTTAATCCTTCCCAGATTAATTATTTAGTAATAAATAGACTTGCGCATTTGTCTGCAGAACTTCTCATAAAGGTATTTTTTGTCTGCCGCAAAGTGAAGAGGGGGAATTAGAAAGACCGTCTGTCCGTCTGTCTGCATGCTGTGAGGATGATAACTTGCATAATAAGTTAGTTGCCAACTTCCATTTGGGTGTGGCTTCATATAGGCGTAAGAAAGGTTCTTTTCAAAATTGGGTTGCCTGGTCAAAATCCAAGATGGCTGCCACCATATATGCATATATGTTGACCTTATGAGCTGGATAATTTGAAAAATAAGCAACGTGCCAACTTCCATTTTAGTATGTATTTACAACTAGGCATAAGAAAGGTCTCTATCAATTATTTGGTTGCCACGTCAAAATCCAAGTTAGCCTCTGTCACATGTGTATGTAAACT